ACATTCCCACTCGCACAACACTACCACACGTGTCGGAAGACCAGTCAGGGGCCTAGAGCTTGTCCCTGCTGGGAAGAGAGCCCCTTGGGGAGAAACATAGAAGGGTGAACTCGCAAGTCGACATACATGTCGGCTCCGAATCTCACGTTCCAGCTGAGAACCTACACCACCACCCCCCACCACCTTCCGGAATGCGAGTATTTTTTTGAGCAACACCTAAAGCATATTTAGATTTCATCCAATGATAAATCCTTTTATAAGATATTTATCCCACTTCAGATCTAATGAAGGGATCGCTTCCGGGAAATAGCATGCACTACACTTCCGGGACTAATAACCTGTATCCGTAATCAATGCTCCCTCACGCACGCTTACACAATACTTTAGCCAATGCAGCGCAACACAGTGAGACGGTAGTTCTACCGAAAAATAAAATACGTTCCTTCCAAAAGAAAAAACAGTAACAACCCAACAGCTTTTAAAACTGGAAGAAGCTGTATGTCCTCCGAGCAAAGTCGCCCCTCCACCCACTGTGACCTGGAGCGGCGCGACGCGACGTGGTGCGTCGTGAAGGCAATGCACGCGGACCGTGACGCGGGGGCGGAGAGCGCGGGAGACAGCGACGGCGGCGGCGGCGGCGGTGGCGCCGGTCCAGACGCCAGCGCAGACAGCGCCGAACGCGACCCTACAGCTACGCGACATCTGCACCTTTCTTCACAAAACGCGGTTTCTCTGAAATTTTTCTGCAAATAATCGCTTCCTTTTCACTACGATGCAATCGAAAAACTTCCGTGTTTTCATCAATAATAGGATATTAAAAAAGTTGAAACAATTGTGTAATTTGTTGTTTTGACGTACAAATATAAAGGAATTGTGTACTTTGTGTCTTAAACGTTTTTAAATTAGCATTTAAATATTGAAAGACAATAACAGAAGACACAAAAATATTAAATTAAAATGAATTAAATTAAAAACAAATTGAAATTTTTATGGTAAACCATTTAACCACAGCAAAGTTCTGAAATTAATATGTCGGTAAACATATTTACAGCCATATTTTCATACTTACTTATTTGAATATCTGATCGTATTTGAGAATTTTTATTGTGTCATCACGTTGCCACTTGAGACATTCTTTAGTTTACAAATACGCTATTTCAGCTTCTTTTGCCACCGTAAATCAGATTGTTGCCACATTGTATGAAAACCTGGAATATTGCCGACTCTGCATTAAAATCAGTCATCTGTGTTGCGTACTTCAACACACGGTTCGGCATATGGAGCGTCAACGCACCAAATCACAGAGCGGGTTAAAAAACACTGGAAAGTATGTCTTTGTAAATGAAGAATATTTCCTTTAAAGGAATAAACTACTCACGAGTAACTTTCACGGGATGCTGAACTGATTGACGCGAGAGACCTCGGACGTCGACGTGCACTGCATAACGGAGAATGTTACTCAAGCGCCGTTGCTGTTTAAGGTAATTACACGAGAGGTGAATCATACAACTTTTCAGTTCAAGACACTTTTTACTTCGAAGAAAGCAAGTCGTGTAATCTTATAAAACTTCATCAAAATTAATGAAAGAGACGTACTGCCATATGTATTCTCGTAAGAGATTAAGATGAAAGTGATCCGACGTTTGGTATCGCATGACACTAGGTCTCAACACATGCTCCTGATACACTCATGCAGGACGTGTAATCTATACAGAAACCGAATACGCATTGGCGCGATCATACACATGGCGCACTGTTATGCGATAGATATTAGCGTGGGTCAGATAGTCCGACTCTAACATATTCTTTATTTCAAATGCACAATTATTGAAAAGTAATCGCGTCAAAAAAAAGTGCATGAACATTGTGAAGTACACGAGCCCAAGACCACGTGTTTCCGTTCGGACATCATTTGTTTTGGTGATGACATGAATTCCGGCATAATTCACAATTGCAAATGTATAATTCTTTTATTCAGCATTTTGTAAAAATAATCAGCATTATTTCCCTTGCGACTTGGACTTAATTCGATTTATAAAAAATATGGGTAAATCCTTTACGTCAACGCGGATGCGTAGAGATGAATTACGATTACATGTTATCAAATTGTGAGATCTTTATATTATAGGTGAACAATAGTTATTAACACTCATTAATATTTAAACTGCTTTCCGATAACAGTTCAAAACAATGTAGCCTGGATGCAACTAAAAGTAACACGACTCCTCAAAGAGCTGGCGGCAGCACTGTCAATCCATTCCGTCGCACACACATCGCGGCGGCGTGAGCCACCGTCCGTCGGAGGCGGACGCAGAGGACTCTACCTGTGGCGGCGGCGTCGAGCGCTGCGCAGCGGGTGGGGCCGCGGAGCACTGGGCGAGGGCGCGGGCGCAGAGCCTGGCGTGCAGCGGCTGCCTCGAAGGACTGCGCGTGCCGGACTCGCGCGCAGCCGCCGCAGCCTCCACCTCCACCTCCGCTGCAGCCGCCCCGCCCCGAGCGTGCGCGGCCGGCGCGGGCGGGAGCGGTGGGGCGAGGGGAGGGCCCTGGGGTACGCCTCTAACGCTCGCGACGATTAGTGGCGGCCCCGCGGCCTTGACGGGTCGTGTGCCCTGCGGTGGTTCCGCCTATTTATACGCCCTCAGGTGCGTAGCCGAGGCGTATGGACTTTGGTCCACTCGTAGGCCATAGCGGTCAGGTGCGTGGGTAAGGTTCGACGCTTGGACATTGTTTCTCCCTTCAAGCACCCGTGCGTTATTGGTTGTTGGACCTTGCGGGTGGTTTGTTGGCTTCCGTCGACTCCACTCTTCGATGGTGTAATGTACAGGCGAATATTGAGTTGGTTTTCCGTAGCCTTTCACGTCACACACATACATATTCGAATAAAGTTTCATTTGTTTCGTGGGGGTCAGACAAACAGTGGGTCGTTTACCTACCGCGCCGCCTTCAACTACGCGGCTGTTTGGTCCCATTTCTATTCATGTGCTTATTTTTTTCTCAATCGCGCCATTTCGCTGGCAAGGCGAGCCGTAGCCGGTATTGGTGTTCTTATCATTTTTGTTCGTCTATAAATTAATGAATGATCTAAATGTGATTATAAAATATGTAGAAACTTGCATTAAGTTCCACAATCATTTTCAGTCCGCAATCAGTCGTCACCTCTTGGTAACCAAGTTGCTGTGATATCGTACATATTTTTAAATAATTAAGTTATCTAATAATTTAAAATTATATAGAAATCAAAGAATACATATAGGTTTATCTTTGCATTCCGCACTGCAATTTACACACCACGTGGCTCTAAAAATCTGTTTCCGACACTCAGAATTATTTTATTCCCCGAATGGGTGAAGGAAGAAGGGATTTTGTTTTCAACGTGGACTTAGTGGCGAATTTCTTGCAGTATATGCAGTATAAACGTATAAAACAATACAGCTGACATAAAGAAAAGTGTCCTAGGGTTCAATTCCAATTGATTTATTTAAACAATTTTCATTGGTCTCTGAACACGCGCATGTGGTTCAACCACATGAGCGCTCAACATATTTTAGCACACAATCGTAAATGGACATATATTCCGAACAGTTGGATATTTTGTTTTTTTAATTGAACAATATTACTAATACCACAATTATTTATTAATCATCTTTTTTAATTTGTTACTAATTTATTTATTTTCATCTTCATTTAGCATTTATTAATGTATTTACATATTCCTCCGTGCAGAAAATGGCACATCTAAAACAGTAAAGTCTTATAACAGTTTTAAAATGAGCCAAGCCGTTTATTTCGCGCGCAAATGTGTTGTTTTACTCTATATATTTGCTCCTAGGTAAGCTACCTTTATGAAATGTTTACTTGTAAAATCATGATATTTTCTAAACATATTTCTTGACATAAATAAAAAAAATATTTTTGAGATATATTACGTTTCTTCTGTACTCTCGATTGATTTATTTCTTCGCTGCTTCAGTTACGTGTTTACTTAAGTAATTACATTGCTGATACATTTATTTCTTTACAAATATTAATTATTTTTAACGTATTATATTTAATCAATTTAATATATTTATTTGCTTGTTTGTTCGCACATGTTTATTCTCTTATTTCGGTCCGCGCCGCGCCGCGCGGTGCAGCGTGCAGGTGGCGGCGCGTGCCCGCGCGCTGAGTCAGTCGCCGTTCGCGGGCCCTGAGGGCGCAGGTGGGGTGGGGGGCAGGGGATGGGCGGCGGCGTCGCGCCTGGGTGGCGGTGGCGTGGCCGGCGCGCTGCCACCGGCCGCGCAGGGCTACTGCCCAACGGCCACCCGTGGATTGATGCCTTTGCCACATCGCTCTGAACTGCGCCGCCCCGCGCCCAAAACGAGCTCTCTGAGGGATGAGCTGTGAACGTGCGGTTGCGTCGTTGGGTGTGGATGAAGGGCGTAACTTTCCCGGCGACTCCTTTGTGGTTGTGTGCGTCTTGCTGCGTGATTGTTTGGTGAGGTAAACCACTTATTGCGAGTGAAGTAGTTGGGGTGCGCTGTTGGTGAAGGTATGCGCGTGTCCTCGCGGTGGACTATTTTAAATAGGCTGACATCTGCACTCCAGGTCTGGGAGGTCTTTGACCTCCGGACTTGGCATTCCACGGCGTTTTAAATTTGTCATCCTCTGAAAAGTGTTTTGGCGGCCTTGGCATTACCTGCTGGCTCAGGTGATGTGGAAGCATTTACGCTCTTCCTGTGGTTCGTTCCCTCTCGTCTTCGGATATTCTGGCGGTGAATGGGGGAAGTAAGATTAGAGGAACTATGGGCATGAAAAATACTGGTGAAACGAGATTTGAGAAGGGGAGGGATTGAGAGAAATGAGATACCGGCAGGTAGACTAAAGAGACTGAAAGGTGATACTACTGAAAATACAAATTGAAGTGAGATAAAAGCAAGAGAGAATATGGGTACGCTTGTAAATGTTAAAGTGTATCTGAAAAGATATCTGTAACCTATTCTTCCATTTCTTTCAGCATTTACCTCTTCCTCACTATATCCAACTCCCTCACCTTTCCGTGGCTTCTTTTTTCCTTCCTTTCTTTCTCTCCTTCCCATCTCCATTCCTTCATCTTTATCTACATGTGTGTGTGTGTGTGTTTTCTCTTCTTTCTTTCTCTACATCTCTCTCTCTCTCTCTCTCTCTCTCTCTCTCTTTCCCCTACTTCACTTTATTTATCTTCTCAGTTCACGTATTTTTCATATTCGCCAGTTAGAGATTTCTTGGGAAGAAATGTTTCTGAGTTGAATCGAGGTCGATGCCTGCCATAACTGCTCTTGAGTGGCGAAACGAAACATGTGGCGCTCCATGTGCATGGAATGCGAACGTGTTTCGTATCCTTCTAATTCTCTCTTCTTTCCTTTTATTTTTTTCTTACCGCATCACATCAAAACCACGAACTTAGTGGTAAAGCTTTGGTATGCACTTGATAATGAGGGAATATGGTGTTTCGTAATTAGAGGTCATCTATTTATTTAGTAGCTCTTCAGAGAGGAAACGTGTAAGTTAATATTCTGCCAAAATATATTGTAATTAGTACTTTTTTTGATATGATAGAGTAAAATATTTTATTTAAATCAAACATAAATTAAATATTTTTCGATTAAAGTATTATGTTTCTTGGAGGAATAAAGCCCAACGAGGTTACCAAAAAATAAGACTTACAGTGCACGTAGTTTGAAACAAAAAGCTTAAGACACTATACGTTGTACCAGACGTAGCTCTTTCGACATTGAAAATGAATGATTTTGGTAGAAGATGGCAATTCTTCTGTCAGTAGTATGTTTCTAATAACAACAGCCGTTTTATCAGCGGTACTTTTAAGTATACCAACTGTAGTAATGTTAATTAACGAACCCAGTTTGCATAGTAATTTTATTTAGTAATTTATGTGTTAACGTGATACCATACATCTGTATTGAAACTACAGTATTTATCTGTCACGAATCGTATTTATTGTAATTATGCATTAATCTTCCGATAAGTACACCGTGTTCGTGTACTTATTGTTGTAATTTGTTACCTCGTGATATTATTCTTTCTAGTAACAAACTTTTTAGTGTATTTTCTAATTATTCTTCATATTCAAAACATTGCTATTTTTGTTTATGTCTTTGAGATGTACGGGTTTCGTAATTGAAACGATTTCAATTGTCCTAAAAATCTTCTCTTATTCGAACATCCTTTAATAATAAAGACAAAATGTATTTTTATTACGCATGTAGTTGTCCTTATTTTTGTTTAATATGTTTATCCAAGAGTATGAATAGTGTGTTATACAGACCTGGCGTTAATACTCTTATGCTTAATAATAATAATAATATTAATAATAATAATAATATTCTACAACAAACATTCGTTCTGTTGCGCCTTCTTATTGGTCCTTTTCCTCTTGGTTTCCTCTCTGTTTCGGTTTTTCATGGGTCCTCCATTCTATCAATGTAGTCTCTTCATGCTTTCCTGTATTCGTCAATTTTTCTGTTTAGATTATAAATTCCTCGGTAGTTACATATCCCCTCATTACGAATTCTGTCTTTCCTTGTGACACCAATACAACCCCCTAAAAACTTTATTTCGGAAAACTGAATCTTACTTCCAATTTTTGTATCCGTGGTCCAGATTTCACATTCATATAGCCCACAAGAAACTCCTAAGGTTTTATAAAATTTCATGATTGTGTCTTTCATGACTTTACTTGTTAGTGCCCTCCTAATAGTTCCACACATGATAATTTTTTTCCATTTTCGTATCTGCATCAATTTATCCTTTATAAGACAGATCACAACCCAGGAACTTAAATGAAATTATTTGTTCAATATATTGGTTGTTAACCACTAATTTACATCTCATTGGGTATTTCCCGGGAATGTAATTAACTTAGAGTTTTAGACAGACATCTCTAAATTATATTCTTCCTTATCAGACACCAAAACTTGGTAGTCCGCGAACAGAGAGTCATTATGTTTTTTTATTATTAAAATTATTTGTAAGATTTAAAAACATCTTCTGCTTCCATTTTTCGATAACATCGTAAGATAAATATTAAGAAGTGTGGCTGACATGCAGCACCCTTGTGTCACTCCTTTATTTATAAATTATTTGAGGATTTTACCTGATTCTCTTCTTACGTTAATTTGGGTATCTTTGTACACGTTTCGAATAACATTCTATTAGATGTTTTGATATGATTATGGTAAAATAATAATAATAATAACAATAATAATAATAATCCTGTGTAATAATAATAATAATAATAATAATAATAATAATAATAATAATCCTGTGTAATAATCCTTTGTCACTGATAACTGTTCTATATTTCTTTCAGAGTTACATTCCTGATAAAATAAATCTATTCTGTTTTCAATTGGTGTTACCGGTGTTTATTCATTGTCGATGAATGAACATTTTTTGGGGTGATTATGTTTTTTAAAACAGAACAATACTCCAAGTTATATATTTAAATAAAAATACGTACTATACTAACGAATAAGAACTGTTAATCTATTTAAACCAACAAGGAAAAGTGTATTACTGCTATCACGCACGTGTCTACATGTACGTGTAGTGATAAGTTGATTGAAGGTGTCGGAGTGTGACATCCGCTGTCAATGGCTTCCTTTTTCGCGTAGCGCTACCGACAGTGAGAAGTGATTGCACGTGTCACATGAGTTTGAGGACATCCTAATGAGACCAGTTGCCGAATTCTAGATTCTGCGCAGTAGTTTCAGACTTAAACGTACAGTACGTAAAGGAAATTTCCCGTAAAATGTTTACATGAAAATCTATGGTCATACGCAAATGTAGTAATTTAAGACTTCGAGACATTGTTCCACTGCTTTTGTGGATGGTGATGCATTTCAGAGCGAAGTGCCAGTCTTATTTCATAGCTGAGTGAATGATAAATATTTTAATAGAGAAGTCCTGAAATGAATATATTTTGTACATATACATACGTCCACTCTACGTAGATTTAAACTGCAAAACATTATCAAAGTTACATTTATGTAGTAATTGATTACATAATACAACACTATAGTTTAGATTTAATCAATTATACTTTATCTTCAATTTTATTGATATATCTCAGGCATTTCTTTCACTAGGCATTATTTCACTAGGCATTAGTTAAATCAGTAAATTCAGTAAATAAAAACACGAACCACTTTAGTAATTAAAATTGATAGATTAAATTGTTCATCTAAAGTGAACTTTACTTATTTAAATTGACATGTAGAGCTATGACAATGTTTCAGCCGTGTTAACCAATATCGTCCATTTTTCTTATTAAATAAATTATTAAATAAAACATGAGTTTTTCCTAATTATTTTGTAATTTTTGATGAAAATACACTTCAAAAGTAGATTTTAAATGCTTCTTGTAAATAATCCTGCAGATCAAAAATGTATTTCGTTTCCTTCACTATTGAGTGTCTGCTATGCACACGATGACATTTTTCTTTTTTCTTGCTTTATGTATGCGCTCTTCTTCGGTGCCTTCCTGACGATTCTCAGGGCGTGTATGAATGAAAGGAAAACCAACAAATAGTCATATCTTAAAAACAGTAACATTTTGAAGATAAAATAGACAGGCCTTATGCATATTTTGGGAATAAAGGCGAGGAATTAGAATAATAGTAAAATTGTTATATAAATATTTTAAAATATCATAAAACAATGCCATTTTCAAATGAAACGAATTATAATCCATGGAGTAATTTAAATCTAGGATTATAAATTCATAAAACCATACTGCAACTTTTCATTGAAAGGCAAAATAAGGAGAGCTATGAAACATAATTATTTTTCATTCTCTACGTTAAACATAAATTTTACTATGTTTAACATCAGTCTGTCGGACATATTCCACCATGAAACAGAACATATTCGTTTTATGTTGGTTGTTCTCGGCTGTCTGAACGACGCAATATCGAAGACTGCTCCACCGTTTCAGCCACTCTTTTGTGGCCTTCTTCAGGGCTGAAATGCGCCTTCATGGGGCCGTCAGGGTGAGCGGCTGGACGTGCCGTGTGGGGAGAAGTCTGCCCAGCGGCACCGAACAAGAACATGAGACAGACAGCGGAAGACTACGTAAATGCCCTAAACGTCCACCAATTACGTGTCCGTCATAAAGACTTATAAAACTATGGTCGCGCAATTATTTAAATTCAAATTATTATCATTATCACGCTCATTAATTTTTTTTGACGAATACCATCGTCGTCATTTCGCCCTATGAATGTCTAAGGAACTCTGGTTCATTTGCAATGTGAATACATGACATACGACTTATGGGAATGGAAAGTTGTTTGGAAAATACCCAATATTTCCCATTCCCAAATGATACGTGCGTCGAATAGGTTCTAGGGAATGACCAGGAAGCAGCGGGCAGCGTGCGCACGAGCGGGCCCAGAGCGCGGGGCGTTCACTCGCGCCAAGCGCCGCCGCCGGCCGGACGCCGCGCTCGGATTCCGGGCTGACCGGCTCGACCGGAGAGCGCCCTGGATTCGATTCGCAATGCGCTCCTTGTTTCTCGAGAACATTTCCAGTCCCGCTCTAATCAGCTTCATCTGCGCTCCCCTGCCACCGCGTTGTTCTCGGGGCGTTTACTTTTCTTTTCAGGGCGGGATTGGTTTCGAATTTTATGCGATTGCTATGTGGGAATGAAATGCTTCGTGTGTGAAGGCGGGAAGGGATGGAAAGGTTTGATTTGCCGAATTTGGGCGATTGATTAAATGATTGACTAAATAAATGATTGAATAAAAATGTTGATGCTTTTTGGGCAATGATATCAGGAAAACCAACGATCCTCTAATGATAAAAGGAATTTTCTTCCTTCCCTCTCTCAATGAAGTTTCAAGTCTCTAATGCGAGTAACGTGCGGTAATGTTAGTTAGTGACCATTGCATTATACTTTGTTTTATGTGTGTCATTTACAAATCTCAAAATATTTTCATAGTCATATGCATTTCAGTTTTTATAACTGAGTTGGACTAAATTCATATTTTTATTGAATTAAATGAATCCTGTTTATTGAAACAAATTATAAATTATGTTTGCTTATTTTTTTTTGTTTCTTCACTTACATTATCATAGTATTTTGTTCTATTCAATTT